GCGTGCGGGCCCCGGGAGGTGTGGCCCCGGGAGGTGTGGCGTGCGGGCCCCGGGAGGTGTGGCGTGTGGACCCCGGGGGTTGTGGCGTGTGGGCCCCGGGAGGTGTGGCGTCTGGGCCCCGGGAGGTGTGGCGTGTGGGCCCCGGGGGTTGTGGCGTGCGGGCCCCGGGAGGTGTGGCCCCGGGGGTTGTGGCGTGCGGGCCCCGGGAGGTGTGGCGTGTGGGCCCCGGGGGTTGTGGCGTGCGGGCCCCGGGAGGTGTGGCGTGTGGGCCCCGGGGGTTGTGGCGTGCGGGCCCCGGGAGGTGTGGCGTGCGGGCCCCGGGAGGTGTGGCGTCTGGGCCCCGGGAGGTGTGGCGTGCGGGCCCCGGGAGGTGTGGCGTGCGGGCCCCGGGAGGTGTGGCGTGCGGGCCCCGGGGGTTGTGGCGTGCGGGCCCCGGGAGGTGTGGCGTGCGGGCCCCGGGGGTTGTGGCGTGCGGGCCCCGGGAGGTGTGGCGTGCGGGCCCCGGGAGGTGTGGCGTGCGGGCCCCGGGGGTTGTGGCGTGCGGGCCCCGGGAGGTGTGGCGTGCGGGCCCCGGGGGTTGTGGCGTGCGGGCCCCGGGAGGTGTGGCGTGCGGGCCCCGGGGGTTGTGGCGTGCGGGCCCCGGGAGGTGTGGCGTGCGGGCCCCGGGAGGTGTGGCGTGCGGGCCCCGGGGGTTGTGGCGTGCGGGCCCCGGGAGGTGTGGCGTGTGGGCCCCGGGAGGTGTGGCGTGTGGGCCCCGGGGGTTGTGGCGTGCGGGCCCCGGGAGGTGTGGCCCCGGGGGTTGTGGCGTGTGGGCCCCGGGAGGTGTGGCGTGTGGGCCCCGGGAGGTGTGGCGTGTGGGCCCCGGGAGGTGTGGCGTGCGGGCCCCGGGAGGTGTGGCGTGCGGGCCCCGGGAGGTGTGGCCCCGGGAGGTGTGGCGTGCGGGCCCCGGGAGGTGTGGCGTGTGGACCCCGGGGGTTGTGGCGTGTGGGCCCCGGGAGGTGTGGCGTCTGGGCCCCGGGAGGTGTGGCGTGTGGGCCCCGGGGGTTGTGGCGTGCGGGCCCCGGGAGGTGTGGCCCCGGGGGTTGTGGCGTGCGGGCCCCGGGAGGTGTGGCGTGTGGGCCCCGGGGGTTGTGGCGTGCGGGCCCCGGGAGGTGTGGCGTGTGGGCCCCGGGGGTTGTGGCGTGCGGGCCCCGGGAGGTGTGGCGTGCGGGCCCCGGGAGGTGTGGCGTCTGGGCCCCGGGAGGTGTGGCGTGCGGGCCCCGGGAGGTGTGGCGTGTGGGCCCCGGGAGGTGTGGCGTGCGGGCCCCGGGGGTTGTGGCGTGTGGGCCCCGGGGGTTGTGGCGTGTGGGCCCCGGGAGGTGTGGCGTGCGGGCCCCGGGAGGTGTGGCGTGCGGGCCCCGGGAGGTGTGGCGTGCGGGGCCCGGGGGTTGTGGTGTGTGGGCCCGGGAGGTGTGGCGTGTGGGCCCCGGGGGTTGTGGTGTGTGGGCCCCGGGAGGTGTGGTGTGTGGGCCCCGAGGGTTGTGGTGTGTGGCCCAGTCATTGGGGCACACGGGCTCAACTGCCCTGCGGCCTGTGGGATCTTCCTGGTCCAGGGATGGAACTGGTGCCCTTTGCACTGCAAGATGGATTCTTAACCAGTGGACCATCATGAAGTGAAGCCGCTCGGTTGTGTCTGACTCTGTGTGACCCCATGGACTGTAGCCCGCCAGGCTCCTGTGTCCATGGGGATTCTCCAGGCAAGATTACTGGAGTGGGTGGCCGTTCCCTCCCCCAGGGATCGTCCCGACCAGGGATGGAACCTGGGTCTCCCGCATTGCGGGCAGATTCTTTACCTTCTGAGCCCCAGGGCAGCGCAGAAAGGAAGACTCTGTACAAGAAAACTTTGGCCCTCTTGAATCTTGTGTTGCACAAGTTCCCGTCTGACCGTGGGCAAGTGCTCCCCCTCACGCGTCCATATACACCGCTGCTGCTGTTTCTGCGCCTCCCCCATTTCAGGGACTCTGCCCAGTTTCTGGAATGTTGTTGGGTCAATAAATGGCCCCGGATAAACACTGCTCCTTTTTCCTGCGTGTTGCCTCAGTTCTGTCTCAATGAAGAGAGCCAAGGTACCCTGCTAGCCTTACAGCCTTGGGTAAGGACTCCAGGTTTCCGTTTGACATCTTCTTAGTGTGGAAACATTCGCAAGCTTTACGGGTTTCAGGAATTCACTGAGCCGGAGGAGGTGCCCCTGCACCCCTAGATCAGGAAGCAATCACTCAACACCTCGCCAACCCTGCTGTATTCCTTGGACTGGATAGAAAAAACCACTGCTGTCAGTTCAGTCTGTAAACTCAGTTTTTTAATCCTCCACTACTTCAACCGCCTGATTTCAACTCAAGCTTGGGGATAAGAATTAAAGATACTAACAAAGAAAAAACACAGAGAGAACTTCCTTACATCATAACAAGGATACCTAATAATGAAACCGCACTGCCGAGAGTCACTGAGGACCGTTAATTTTCACAAGAAGCGTTCCAGAGAAGAGACGATGGTCTGACTTTCTCCCTAAGGGCCAGGATTGTACCCGCCAGCGGCATTATCCCCGGTCCCTTGCTCCTTCCTTACCAGGTCATCCTGTTCATTCCACTCCATGCCACCTAGCTAAAACGCTAAAATTCAGTGTCTGCCTCCAGCCTCTTGGGAGGAATTAATTATATGCTAAGGAGTTCAGTTCAGTTCAGTTCAGTCGTTCAGTCATGTCCGACTCTTTGCAACCCCATGAATCGCAGCACGCCAGGCCTTCTTATCCATCACCAACCCCCAGAGTTTACTCAAACTCATGTCCATCGAGTTGGTGACGCCATCCAGCCATCTCATCCTCTGTCGTCCCCTTCTCCTCCCGCCCCCAATCCCTCCCAGCATCAGGGTCTTTTCCACTGAGTCAGCTCCTCGCATGCTAAGGAGTAGCTATATGCCGTTAATGTGCTACTGTAACGTAGTTTAGGCTTTCCTGGTGGCTCAGGTGGTGAAGAATCCGCCTGCAATGCAGGAGACGCAGGTTCGATCCCTGGCTCAGGAAGATCCCCTGCAGGAGGGCATGGCAACCCACTCCAGGATTTTGCCTGGAGAATTCCACGGACAGAGGAGGCTGGCGGGCTACAGTCCATGCAGTCACAAAGAGTGGGACACAACTGAGCGACTAACATGCTGAGGAGGAAAGTTAAATTTAACTGGAAAACTAAACAGTAACACAGTGTGGGCATCCGGGTGTTTGGGAAAGGCGGCCCTCTGGCGCCCCCTCAGGGAGCAGCAGTTACAATCTGAGGACCTCACAGGTCTGATCTGACCGTCCTGGGATGCGCTGGGGGCCGCCACCGGCTCAGCCACCGCCACAGAGCAACGCGTTGTTTTGCAGATAGCAGGCTGTTACCAGGAAAGAGGATTGTGGGCGAATCCAAGAGAGTCTGAGGATGGGGCCCCATCTAGGAGACTGGACTTGATTATGCAAACAGCAAGGTTTGATTTGAATTAAAAAAACCGAACCCAGGGAGGCATGCTGAGGACTTACTTTTCAAATGATGGTTTGCTGTTGTTTTTTTCAAAAGGACTTTGATGCCTGTCCCCTCCAACAAGTAAGATCCCTCAGGTTCACTGACTCCATTGCTTGGAAGGAATCTGTGTACCTCAGGGTGGGCTGAAGCTTAGTGCCCTTGAGTGAGAAGTGCTGAGTTTCTTTCTTTTCCGTCTCTCCTTTCCCTTAGTGATGCCCACTGTCCTACAATTGGTATTCTTAGCATGTCTGTGTATGGGCGTAGAAAGGCCAAGAAGGTCACAGTTGAGAGCAGGAAGAGACAAAGGCAAGAGAGACTTTATCAAAGCGTAACCACCAATACCTCAGCACTGCCAAAGCACGAGCATCTTGTTTAAAAGACGGGAAAATCTTGAGCAAAATGTTGACTTCCACATCTGCTGGCATGTGCTGTTTCTGTCTGAAGCATTATTACCACCACCCACGTGTGTGTGCGCACACACGCACCTCCTTGCCTGCCTGTTTCTTCTTTAGCTTTCTGTTTAGACTTCCCAGACCCTCAGTCTGAGAACCGTTTCCCTCTTAGCGTTTCCATAGGACCCTGTACATTCTCCAGCACAACGCTCATCACAGAACAAACACTTCACTACATCAGAGCGCCACGAAGGCAGGGACCAGATCTGCCTTTTCCCACCATTCTAGTCCCAGGTCCTGGAATGGCAGCCAATACGTGTTTATGGAGGAAGTGAATTCCCATGAGTCTCTGTAACACTTCTTTGTATGAGTTTTTGTGTATCTCTGTGAATAATGTCTGTTGAGTATGGTTGTTCGGGCTATCTACTGTACAAGAACATCTAGCAGAATTGGAAGGGGAGGCTGAAATGCAGCTGACGTTCTCATCACCACGCCATTGTCACGGGCTTGGATCCCACTTGGCGGAAGAGGTGTCTTTTCTGAGTTGCAGAGCCACACCATACAGGCTTTGAGCAGCCCAGCTCTGAACAACACTTCATGTCTTCAAAAGGAAGTGGGAATTCTCCCTCTGGTCCTAGAAAGGCTGGGATGAAGTGTTTTTAAAGAAACTGTTTCTTTAGGTCCTCTGAAGTGAAAGTGGCTCAGTTATGTCCAACTCTTTGCGACTCCATGGACTATACAGTCCATGGATTTCTCCAGGCCAGAATACTGGAGTACGTAGCCCTTCCCTTCTCCAGAGGATCTTCCCAACCCGGGGATCAAACCCAGGTCTCCTGTAGTGCAGGTGGATTCCTTACCAGCTGAGCCACAAGGGAAGCCCAAGAATACTGGAGTGGGTAGCCTGTCCCTTCTCCAGGGCATCTCCCAACCCAGGGTTGACCCCAGGTCTCCTGCAGAGCAGGCGGATTCTCTACCAGCTGAGCCACCAGGGAAGCCCCTCCGCCGGCCATCAAGGCCGAGACTCTGACCCCATCCCGGGCCAAGCCGGCCCTCACTGTCCGATTTCTGTCTCCTGCAGGGTTTGGGATGGCCACCCCAGCGACAGTGGGCGGGAAGGTCTTCCTGATCGTCTACGGCCTCCTCGGCTGCTCCAGCACCCTCCTGTTCTTCAACCTCTTCCTGGAGCGCCTGATCGCCGTCATCGCCCACGTCACGAGGTGGTGCGGCGCCCGGCGGCCGGGGAGGCGGGCGGGCCCGCGCGCCGGGAGCCCCGGGCGGGCGGCGGCGGCGGCCGCGAAGCCGTCGGTGCGCGTCGTGCTGCTGGCCCTGGGCGCCGCCTCCCTGGCGCTGTGCTGCGGGGCCGCCGCCCTGTACGCGGCCGCCGAGGGCTGGGGCTACCTGGACGCGCTCTACTTCTGCTTCGTGGCCTTCAGCACCATCGGCTTCGGGGACCTGGTCAGCGGGCAGCAGGCGCGCTACGACGGCCGGGGCCTCTACCGCGTGGCCAACTTCGTCCTCCTGCTCTCAGGCGTCTGCTGCCTGTATTCGCTGTTCAACGTCGTGTCCATCCTCGTCCGGCAGGCGGTGAACTGGGCCCTGGGCCGGGCGGCCGGCGCGGGCTGCCGGCGAGGCCGGGGACGCGGCGGGCCGCCCCGCAGGAACGCCGTGGGGCCGGGCCGCGTGCGCAGCGGGGGCGGCGGCGCCGCGGAGACGGACGGCGGCTCGGGCGCGCGGCGCCTCTCGGGCGAGATGGTCTCCATGAAGGACTTGCTGGCGGCCAACAAGGCCTCCCTGGCCGCCCTCCAGAAACAGCTGTCCGAAGCGGCCAGCGGCCGCCCGCGCCGGGCGAGCACGCCGGCTGTGGACGACGAGTTCTCAGGGGGCGTGGGCGCCTTCGCCATCATGAACAGCAGGCTGGCGGAGACCAGCGCGGACAGGTAGGAGCGGGGGCGCAGGGCGCGTTCGGGAGCCGCTGCTTCCCGCCTGGAGCCCGGCGTGAGAGAGCGCTTCCTCTCCAGCAGGCTGCCCCTTGCCAGGGCTGCGGGAGCGTGAAGCCTCCAGGCCGCTCCTCACCCGCGCCCTTCTTTAAGTGTAATTCACTCTTTAAACATGAACCACACCGGCCGTCAGTACCTGCTCTCCTGACTCGTCTCGCTCCAGAATTTGGACCCAAGAGAGGGACCGCTTACTTAGGCCTTGATTTCCTGCTGCTCTGTCTGTTCCGCTCCTGGAAGTACAGATCCTCAAGACGCGAGCTCTCCCCTGGAACTCCGAGACTGAATTCACAGCCTCTCAGAGGCCCTTCAGCGAAGTGGGGGCAGGAACTGGTCTGGAAGGCGACTGGGCTTGCTTTTTCCCCGAGCTGCCTTCGAGCAGATGGTTCTGGGGCTGCGGCTAGGGAAACCACCTGTCCCTCCTTACACCTGCTTCTGTTTTTGTTTCTCCGTTCTTTTATTTGTAAGATCTTAAGGCTTGACTAAGGTGCCTGTGGGACCTCAGCATTAAGATTAAGAAAATAAAATCCAGCTTCAGGCCTTTAAACCGCAGCAAGGTGATGGCGAGAGGCCGCTCTTGTCACTGAAGACCAGGTTACCCTGCTCCTTTGAACGGCCCCAGAGGCCACTGCATCTTACCCGGACTTGGGGTCCATTGCAGAGATAACGACTGTCTATTTATTAAAATTGAAAATTTAATAAAGCCTCCTTTTATTAACAAAGACTACATGAGTGCTCATTGAGGATGTTGGGGGTAGAGTGCTTCATTAAACAGGAACTTACTGCACTCACAGAAAGAGGAAATAAGAAATGAACCTTTAGGGATTGTGAGCATCATCTCGGGTCCTTGGCTGGAGAAACATTCTAGACCGGATAATGAAACCTGGCTTTTCCTGTCTAATCCTCTTGGGTCCTGCCTCGTGGGACTGTAACAAGCCTGATGATATTACCTGACTTATTGTTAAAGTGGTCCATGCTAGGAACCAGGGCTGTTGATCGTCATCAACACAGAAGATTTGGGGGATGAGAGCAGTGTTTATAAGAGATATCTGTTGTTTTTTTATAAGAATGGTGTCCACATGGCACTTTCAGAACTGAGGAGGAAAGATGGGCCCTGTAAAGAGGATAAAGCAGAAAAGCCCTGCCTGGTGAAACTGAACTGTTGAGCAGAAAGCATCAGATTGGGAGGACACTTAGGAACCATCTCATCCAACCTCCTTGTTTTTGACAGAAGGAGACAGAGGCCCAAAGGGATTGCCCCTCTTCTCAGGCTGATGGTGAACAGCGGGGAGAAGCACTCTGATCTCTCAGGAGGTCTGGGCTCTAGGCCGGTTATCCACCCAGCTTCAGAACCCACAACGGCTCCCTCTCCAGGCTGTTGACTGTTCTTGCAGCTGGTAAACCCAAATATTTTCTTTAAGATATCAGGAGTGCCCTGGAGCCAAAGTGTGATAAGCAGCAGCCCTAGGCTTTGAACTCAGGGCTCCTGCAGCTCCAAAAATCAGAGCCTTCAACAATTACACTTAAAGGGCGGCAGCCTGGAGTACTGCACAACCCTTGTTAGGAGCCTTTGACCATAAACCCATCTCCCCGGGAGCTTTGCCCTGCAGGAGGCTCTGTGGGGAAGTGCGGGATGGGGGTGGAGCTGGGTCCCCACCCCTAGGGGGTTTCTTTTCTTTTTTAAGTTTTTATTTTATATTGGAGTATAGCCAACTAACAATATTGTGACAGTTCCGGTGACTAACAATATTGTGACAGTTCCGGTGAGCAGCAAAGGGCCTCCGCCATACGTGCACAGGTGTCTGTTCTCCTCCAAACTCCCTCCCATCCGGGGCTGTTCCCCTCCCGTCTCTGCTCCACCAAAAACTCCAAGAGGGGGCAGCCCGGAGGACCGGGGTGAGCGTGCCCCTGACGTCCGAGCACGTGGTGGCTCTCTGAGACAGGCTGAGTCTGAAACGCTCCCAACATCCCCCCTCCACGCTCACAAGCTTCAGGTGACAGGTATCAACAGCACACTGCCAGGAGCACAAGAGAGCAGACAGACCCTCTCTCAGAAGGGTGCAAGGAGAAAAGCTAAACTTCAAGAGCAAACTGACCTTGCCCGGCAAATCAGGTTTCACCCTAAACACAAGGATGTCACGCTGCAGGACCACGAGCCTGAGGAGAGCTGAGGGTAACCATAGCAACAGACAACCTCAAAGCCAGCCCAACTCCTAATAGATTAATTCAAGCATTCACACCAAGCATTTATCAGGAGGAAAGGCACGCTCATGTCTAGGCATAAAAGCTCTGCCTCAGTCTCTACTGGCGTACACAAGATGCCCAACTTTCAAGAAAAAAATTATGAGGCAGGCAAAAAAAAAATTTTTAAAGAAAACATTCTCCAGCACAAAGCAACTATCAGATCTGAAACAAATGTTAGAAATATGTGGCAGGGAGTTTAAAATCACTATTAGTAAGTTAAAGATTCAACAGGGAAAAGTGGATATCAGGCAACATCAGATAGGTGATTTCAGTAGGGAGATGGAATGTATAAGAATCAAGTAGAAATGCTAGAAATAAAAAGCACAGCAACAGAGATGAATGGTGCCTTCAACGGACTTATTAGTCGACTGCCGCAGCCAAGAAGAGAATCCATGAACTTAAAGATAGAAACTGCTCGAACTAAAACGGCAAGAGATGAGAGTGAACCAGATAAACATGGCCTCCAAGAGCTTTGGGACGACGTCAGATGGGTCATCCCCGAAGACGGAGAGCAGAGCCGAAGGTACTTTTGAAAATAATAGCTGACAGCTTTCCAAAATAATGACAGAAACCAAGAAGATCCAAGAAGCTCACAGAACACCTAGCAAGTCTTATATAAATATATATGTGTATTTACATACATGCATATATGTATAGATACATATCTACAGACACACATGTAATACACAGACACACACTGGATATATCTAGGCATATATTCAAACTGCAGAAAACAAAAGACAAAGAATCTTGAAGACAGCTAGAAAAATAGGTACATTCACAGGCACAAGATAAGAATTAGATCTCATCAGAAACCATGCGTATAATAAGAAAACAGTGTCACATCTTTAAAATGCTGAAATTTTAAAAAGAAGCTATGTCAGTCCAGAATTCTATATCCAACAAAAATCCTTCAAATGGGGACAAGAAGCAAATACTTCCTCAAAAAAAAATCTAGAGAATTCATTGCCAGCAAATCTACCTTTCAAGAAATGTTTTTAAAAGTTCTTTAATATTTTAAAACAATGAGAGAGAAAGAGCATAGAAGAACTCTAATTAGTGAAAGTAGAAAAAAGCAGTGAAATGGCAAATTAGCATTAGAACCCCGAAGCTGTCCTTGCTGAGGGCGAGGCCTGAAGTTTAAGCAGAGCCAGGGTGTGTGCAGGCTGAAAGGCTCCCCACCAGCTACCAGAGTATTTAGGCACTGCAAAAAGAACTTTACGGTGGAGAATTTTAGTAACTTTGCAGTGGGGAATTCTGGCAGACACCACTTTAATCAAGTGAGCGGAGCTAATGTTACCAGTTGCGCACACTGACATCTGAAATGACGCGTTGAGACGGGGGTAGCATCCACGGCATCCTTGCCAGTGACGTCAGTCTAATCTCACAGACTCAAATCAAGGGATGTTCTACTCAGTAACTGACAGGTATTCTTCAAAAGCCTCAAGCCAATGAAAGACAAACCTAAGGAGGCATGTCAACTAAATGCCATGTGGGATCCTTCATTGGATCCTGGAATATAAAACAGATGTTAGTGGACAAACCAAGGTGACATTCAGTAAATTCTATAGTCTACTTAATAGTATTATACCTGTGTTACAGTCTTAGTTTTAATAATTGTTCTATGGTTATGTAAGATATTAAGTAAGAAGTTGGATAAAAGGTATATGGAAACTATGCACTATTTTTACAATTTGACTGTAAGTCTAGAATTATCTCAAGTAAAAAAGTTAAAAAGAAAAAACCCAAGACTCTCTCCAGTTTGCACACAGCCAGTCACACCAGGGCGTGGGCTGCGACTTGAGTGCCGCACCCCTGAGACTCCAGTTTGGTTCTCAAGTCCTTGTAGGTCTTGGCCTCGCTTAAAAGCAGTAAGACTTCCCTGGCAATTCATTGATTAAGGCACTGCCCTTCCAACAGAGGAGACGTGGGTTCAATCCCTGGTTGGGGAACTAGGGTCCCACATGCTATGAGGCCAAAAATTAATTAAAAAAATAAAGCAGTAGTTTTGTGAGTGTGTACCCCAGATCAGCAGCAACAGCAGAAACAGGGCACTGGGTGGGAAAGAAAATTCTCAGGCCACGACTTCAGGAATCAGAAGCTCTCACGGAGAGGGGGGAGGAGAGGGTGAGATGCATGGAAGAGAGTAACGCAGAAACTCACATGACCCTGTGTAAAATAGATAGTCAGCGGGAATGTGCCTTACGGCTCAGGGAGCTCACACGGGGGCTCTGCACCAAACTAGAAGGGTGGGAGGGACGGGGATGGGAGGGAGGTTCGAGAGGGAGGGGACACATGTGTACCCATGGCTGAGTCATGCTGAGGTTTGACAGAAAACAGCAAAATTCTGTAAAGCAATTATCCTTCAATTAAAAAATAAAAAAAGAATCAGAAGCTCTGAGGGTAGGGCCCAGAAATCTTTAACAAATTTTCCAGGCATTTTTTTTTCCCCAATAAAGAATGCTTTCCTGAGCGTGAGCTATAAAGGACAGAAAGACACCCTCCTCGGGGCCCAGCCTGCAACCCCCTCAGGCTGTGCCGCTGTGGCTGGATCCCAGTGCCTCCCAGAAATTAGCATCATCTGCACCTCAGAGCCATTTCTAATCATCTTGAATTTCCCAGGCACCCAGATAACTCCTCTGGGAAGTATGGTCCCTGAAAGTTATTAGGTGCAAGTAATGATTTAGCTTTCTAGATTTAGGCAAAAGGCAGTGCTTTTATGTTTTCAAGGGAATTTTTTTTTTTTAAATATCATCTCATAGTTGTCCTTTGGTGGAAGATTTCTCGGTATCCCTTGAGCATTTGCTGATTGAATTTTGTTTACTCTTCCCAAGCAGCTGGCCTTGGAATTTGTCATTGCAGAATTCCCTGTCATCAGGAGCCACGCATCCAGTATATCCTGCATGCGTGCGTGCTCAGTCACTTCAGTTGGTTCCAACTCTTTGTGACCCTATGGACTGTAGCCCGCCAGGCTCCTCTGCCCATAAGGGTCTCCAGGCAAGAATTCTGGAGAGGGTCGACATGCCCCTCTGGGGGATCTCCCCAACCCAGGGATCGAACCCCGATCTCTTATGTCTCCTGCGTTGGCAGGGGGGCTCTTCATACCACTAGCGCCACCTGGGAAGCCCCCCGTATGTACTGCCTTCCTCAAAAGTCACCATGGTCCCCTAGGGAGACTGTTTTTTGTGCCGATTTTCAGGACTTTGCCCAGACTTCCTCCATCAGAACCTGTATGGGTGGGGCTAAGGAATCTGCATTTTTAATTTTAATATGCATCCACCCTCCCCATAAAAAGCAGTCCTTTGGCATATTAATATTTCAGAACCACTGCCTGGCGGGGTGAGGTGGGGGGAAGGAAAGGGCCCGTCTCCGTTTGATGAGAAGGATTCATGAACGCCCGAGATGGTAAATTACAGCAGGGCGTTGTGCATTCAGGTCGGTTGGGCTGATGGCCGCTGAGATAATCAAAAACCGGCATGGTGCACCTATTCCCATGAGAGCTTCTTGACTTTGTCTAACCCATTCGTGAACGTGGGCACCACCCCATCTGCTTCTCCACCCGCGTTAGAAACATTCATCTCTGCTTTCTCGTGGGTCCTTGAAAGTCAGCTCAATATTCCGCGCATCTCAAGACCTGCCCCGGTGAGCTGCTTTGAAGGTACAGCGCAAATCTCGGGCAGCCCCTAACTTCAGGGACTCCCTCAAAGCACGTGATGTAAGCAAGGGTGGACAACAAGGCATCCGAAACGTTTCCAGGATGACCAGAGAGAAGCGAGGGTCCGTGCTGACCGAGAAGGTCGGGGAGGGCTGCGTGGGCAAGCTGGCTGCGGGCGAGGCCTGGGAGGACCTGCGTGCGCAGTGGGGAGCTCCGCGCGGAGGGCGGGGCGGGCAGAGGGCGCCTCTGAGCACCCCCCCGGGCCAGGGAGGCCTCGACAGGGAGCAAGCTTGGAGGCCGAGGGGGCTGCTCGCTCATCTTTTTCCTCTCTTCCTCCTCTAAGGACAGGCAGACGGCGAAGCAGCGATGAGATTGAAAGACGCTGCCCCTTGGGGGAAAGCTGTGACCGACCTGGACAGCGTATTAAAAAGCGGAGGCGTTACTTTGCCGACAAAGGTCCAGCTGGTCAAGGCTATGGTTTTCCCAGTGGTCATGTACGGATGTGAGAGTTGGACTATAAGGAAAGCTGAGTGATATATTGTAAAGTAATTAGCCTCCAATTAAATTAATTAATTAATAAAAAAATAAAGCTGAGCACTGAAGAATTGATGCTTTTGAACTGTGGTGTTGGAGAAGACTCTTGAGAGTCCCTTGGACTGCAAGGAGATCCAACCGGTCCATCCTAAAGGAAATCAGTCCTGGGTGTTCATTGGAAGGACTGATGCTGAAGCTGAAACTCCAATACTTTGGCCACTTGATCGGAAGAACTGATTCACTGGAAAAGACTGATGCTGGGAAAGACTGAAGGCGGGAGGAGAAGGGGACAACAGAGGATGAGATGGTTGGATGGCATCACCGACTCAATGGATATGAGTTTGAGTAAGCTCCGGGAGTTGGTGAAGGACAGGGAGGTCTGGCGTGCTGCTGTCCATGGGGTCGCAAAGAGTTGGACAGACTAAGCGACTGAACTGAACTGAACTGAACTGATACTGTTGTAGCCACGTGTTCCGGGAAACAAACTGACTCAGAAGGACAATGCAGATAGTGGAGTGCAGTTTCTCACACCGGCGGGCCCAAGGCAGAGTCTTCTCTTAGCCAAAGACCCCAACCAGTTTTTGTGAAAACCTTACATACCCTAAGTGTATGTGCCCAAACCCACCTCCCCAAAATTCCCTGAAACTAGTCTGAACAAAGGAAAAAGATATAATCAAAGTCAACCCATGATTCATATGCCTTAAACCTAGGTGGTTAACAGTGGACAATTATCAATAGGCGTGTGGTCATTCCCCAATAAGCATGATAGAGTGTATGATTCTATCCGGCTGTGAGGCGATGGAGAGCCCTGGGGCTCCTCCTTCCAGGGGCCTGATTTCCCAGTTGGTCTGTCGTCTCCCTAGGTAGTCCTGCTTTCAACAGAGAGCCTGTTCCCCTTCAGTACTAAAGGGGAGTCTGCCCTGACGCTTCTCTTCCCTTTCCTAGAATCCCTTCCCTTCTTGGTCGTCCTGGGTCCTCTGGAGTTTTACACTAACTGCGGGGACCCTTTAAATTCTCCGTGCGTTGCTTAGACTTGATCTCCTGGGAACGGAAGGTAGTGACCAGCATCAGCGCCTCTTACCCCCGGAGACGGGACGTGGGGCAGAGGAGAACGCTGAGTGCGGGCACCACCTGGGGAGGACGGGCGGGCAACGGCCCGTGTGTTAGCCGGGGCTCTGCGGAGAATCCGAGCCACAGGCTGTGCAGACACTGGGGTTGTTTTAAGGGGTTGGCCATGCGGATGTGGGGGCCGGCTCGTCCCAGTCCGCAGGGCAGGTGGGCATGCTGGCCCCAGGAAGGGCTGACCGTGCGGCTCCGGTCCAAAGGCAGTCCCGGGCGAACGCGCCCCTCCTCCAGGGGCCTCAGTCTTTCCTCTTGACGTTCTCAACTGATCGGAGGAGGCTTGACTCAAGGTCTACCAATTTAAATGTTCATCTCATCTCAGAGTACCTCCATAGCAACATCCAGACTGGTGTTTGACCAAATATTTGGGTACTTTGCCCAAACCAAGTTGACATAAAATTAACCATCATCATATCCACTAAATCCCTGAGAGCCTAAAGCAGAGGAAAATCAGAAACTCTCCTAAGCCCTGAAATCCCCTCCAGTCGGGCTCCAGAGAGGATGCCTCTCAGCTCCGAGGGAGGGGCTGCACTCCTCTGAGTGTCCCGGGACCCCCCCACCCCACCCACCACTCTCCCTCCTCTCGGGGGCAGCTGGTGGATGCTTTCTGCACCCCGACTGCACAGGTGCCCTTGCACCCAGGATTCTTCTCCTCCCTTCACGCAGTCAGCGCCTTTCCCCAGGTAACCATTCCAATTGGCAGGGTGGTTTCCATCTCCAAGTGGACTGTGAGGGGGAGCCCCCAGGCGAGAACCTTCGATCCTTCTCTTACCTAATTCAGCTGGGAGACTGAGGAAGGGAGAGAAGGGACAGCCCTGTCCTCCTCTGAAGGTGGAGGCTGCCATCTGTAGCTCGCTCTCTCATCTTTTTCCTTCAGCAGGCACGCTCTTCTCTCATTGTCCGCTTGCGTCACTCGAGAACTGTAAAAGTACATGATGCCCCGTCCCTCCAGGGCTTCTGGCTCAGTGGGTCTGGGCTGATGCTTGGTCGTGAGTATTATTTAGTAGCTTTCATGGGTGTTACAAGAGTGACTTGCATGAAGTACTAAGTTTATGCTGTATAAATTGCTATATAAATTCTGTGTGTCTGCATGCTTTTCATTTTCCCTGAGCTATATGTTGTAAGATTTGTTTCGAAATTTTTAGCGTGGCTCGGGGGAGAGGTGGTTTGTTCCCTCAGTCAGCCTCAAGAGAAGACCAGGAGTAGGAGAGTCAGATTAGACAGTCATCCAGGCCTCCTGAAGGGTGGCCGCGGACACCTTTGCTGTAGACACGTGTCAAACCACAATTTTCAAAAAGTTAAAGTAATAATTCTCAAATATACAGTGAGCAAAAATAGATTTTCTAATAGAAGATATCTTTAACTCACTGAAGGAACAAAAAGGAAAGGAAAAATGGGAGATGACAAATCGTTCAAAGGATGATCGGAGATGCATCATGCACATGTATGTACACTCACAGTGAAAGAAGGATGCTGGAATAAGACTGCAAAATTAGTTACAGAACAGGTTAAGCTAACATTTATACAGAACACTCCACCAAACAGCAGAACACATATTTTTCTCAAGTGCACATGGACTGGTCTCCAGGATACACCATATGTTAGGCCACAAAATAAGTCTTAATAGAAAGTTGAAATCACACTGAGTGTCTTTTCCAATCACAACAGAATGAAACTAGAAACCAACAGCAGAAGGAAAGCCAGAAAATTCCAAAATCTGTGTAAGTTAAATAACTCTTATACAGCCAATAAGTCAGAGAGGAAATCACAAGGGAAATTAGCAAACATCTTGAGACAAGCAGTAATGAAAGCACAGCATATCAAAACTCATGGAATGCGGCAGACGCAGCAGCAAGAGGAAAGTTTATAGCTATAGATGATTACATTAAAGAGAAGCAAGATCTCAAATCCACAACCTAATTTTGCACCTCAAGGACTTAGAAAATGAACAAAGTAAACCCAAAGTTAGCAGAAGAAGGAAATAACAGAGCTAAATAAAATAGATAATACAACAATAGGAAAAAATTAGCAAAACCAAGGATGTGTTCTTCAAAAAAAATTTAAAAACTGACAAACATTTAGCTAAGTTGACTAAGAAAAAATGAGAGAAGACTCGAATAACTGAAATTTAAAAATGAAACTGGGAGCATTACTATTGATTTTACAGAAATAAGATTATAAGAGAATACTATGAACACTTGTGTAACAAATTGGATAACCCAGGTGAAATGTAGAACTGTCTAGACACCTGCAATTTACCAAGACTGAATCACATAGAAGATCTGAACCGAGATTGAATGCGTAATCAAAAACCTCCCAACAAGCAAGAGCCCTGAACCAGATGGCCCCCCAGTGGACTCTAGTAAACATTTTAAAATAATGCCAGTTCCTCTCAAGTTCTTCCCAAAAACTGAAGCAGAGGTAACACTTTCAACTCATGCTATGACACTGCATTACTCAGAGACCAAAACCTAGAAAAGAACATGACAAGAGAACGATAGAATGACATCCCTTATGAGCATCAACGTGAAAGTCCTCAAAAAAAAAAACAAAAACACCAAACAACAAACTAGCACACTGAGTCAACAGCATCTTGAACGGGTGATGCACCGTGACCATCGGAATGTATTCCAAGAGCGCGAGCATGATTCAACACAGGAAAAGCAACCAACGGAACACACCACACCAACAGGACGAAAGGGCGAAGAACACGATCATCGGAACTGATGCAGAGAAGGATGCGACAAGACACAACATCGTTTCATAAGAAAAGCATTCAACAAGCTAGGAGTATAAGGAAACTGCCTCCACATAATAAAGGCCAAATATGAGAAACCCACAGCTTGTATCATACTCAGCAATGAATGACTAAACACTTCTACTCTAAACTCAAGAACAAGACAAGAATGCCCACTCCAGCCACTCCCATTCAACATACTAGTGGACGGTTGTATCCAGAGCAGTCAGACAAGAAAGACAAAGAATCTATGAGAGAAACATCTAGTCTAAAAAGGAGAAAAGAGAGGGAGGTGGGGGAGGAAGGAAGGAAGAGAGGGAGGTAATTATTTCAACCTCAATACTTTTTGTTGCTTACTTTTACAAGGATCTTTTGACAAATACCTCTTGAAAAAATAGAAACATTTATTTGAAATGTAATGATTTCTTCTATTTTTTGTCAATTATTTTTCCTACAAAATTCAAGTAAAAATGTAATTAGTTTTCTAAATGTCATATACAAATTTATCCCATTTTTCAATAGCTTTTATTTCTACAGCTATTTACCTATCTATTTATTTATCATATTCTGATGTCTAAAAGAATGTTGAAATTTTGTTCAGACATAAACCTGGAAACAAACATACTTAAGATGCTTACAGTAAGTAATTCTGTGTTTTACTATGGCTGACTCTTGATTGCTTCCTGGTGGCTATCTATTACTTTTAAATATTCAATAATTAAAATAAAATAGAAAACAAAGTCAACTCAGTAACATGTAGTGGGAAAATTAGATTTCTATTTGAATACTGGCAAGTGTGTTAATTTTTCGGGCTGTCAGCTTCCCCTTCAGTGAAACAGAATAATTATGCCAATCTTACAGCTGAGTTGCACAGCTTAAAAGATTTAATGTCTATAAAATGACCAGAAGTGCCTGGCTCAGAGTAAGCTCCTAAAGAAACCAACTTTGACTCTGTTCTTGACCTGTCACAGTCTCCCTCCCTTTGAGAATCATCCTCACAGCTGTCTCTCTTTCAGCTGCCACTGTGCCTACTTGGCCAGCCATTCTGCTCTGCCTCTCTTAGCTAACGCTCCTAAAAGAGACCTCCAAATGAGTTTTAAATTATTAAGTATGAGTTACTAAAGCTGAAAGAGAATCTAAGGGGAATGACTGGCTTTACTCTAGCGTTTATGGCATTTTAGGGCCAAAGCTGCGGCTCTGTTCATTCAATCATCCGTTCATTTAGCAAAGACTGAGCATCTACCACCGGCCAGGTGTTGCCCTGGGCGTTAGAGGCAGAAAGGCGAATAAGGCCCAGCCCAGTCTTAGGAGATCTACAGACTTCAGACCTTAGTCCATAGGATGGAACTTGTCCCTTTGGTACTGACCATTTGGTGATGTCCATGTGTAAAGTCATCTCGTGTGTTGTTGAAAAAGGGTATTTGAGATGATGAGTGTGTTCTTGTGGCAGTATTCAGTTAACCTTTGCCCTGCTTCATTTTGGAACTTGTCAGAGGATTGGCGTCTGATGCTGAAATAGGTGTTAAGGTGGGCTACCCTGCCCCTGAAGAGCTGGATAAGGTCAGTTCAAAGCCCTCCCCTCCCTTCTCCCAAGACTGCTGTGAATTCCAGGGGAGCCATGGCTTTAGTGATCATCGCTGGCTCTGAGACTCTTAGTGGTCTGATTTTTAAAAAATAGGTCCCTAGGTGCCCGCCTGTATGAGCACCAGTGTGGTTCCTGTCGGGCGGGCCCTCACAAGCACCCAGGCACCGTTCTTTCGGATTCTCTCTCCCCTCCCTCCTCTGTGATGGTTAATTCTATGTGTCAGCTTGACTGGGCCACCAGATGCCTGGTTATCAGGCCTTTGAACTATGCTACCAGCTTTCCTGCATGTCCAGCTTGCAGACGGGAGATCACAGGATCTCTCAGCCCCCGTAGTCCCATGAACCAGTTCCTCACAATAAATCTCTTTATATCTGTAGACCTTCCCTGGTGGCTCAGATGGTTTAAAAAGAAAAAATCTGCCTGCAATACAGGAGGCCCAGGTTTGATCCCTGGTTCAGGAAGCTTCCTGGAGACAGGAATAGGTACCCACACCCACTCCAGGGTTCTTGCTTCTTTTGTTGTGGGGCCAGGCTCTCGACGCAGGGGCTCCAGGGCTTAACTGCCCCATGGCACGTGGGATCTTCCGGGTCAGGGAGGGAGCCCGTCTCTCCTGCAGCAGCGGCGTGTTCCTTACCACTGAGCCACCAGGGAAGCCCCTTAAGATTTTTTTGATGTGGACCATTTTTTAAAGTCTTTATTGAATTTGTTACAAAATGGCTTCTGTTTTAGGTTTTTTGACCATGAGGCATGTGGGGTCTCAGCTCCCCACCCGGGGATTGAACCCGCACTCCCTGCATTGAAAGCCCAAGTCTCAACCACTAGACAGCCAGGGAAGCCTGCAGACACGTCTTAAACGAGTCAGCGTGCTGGCCACAAACCAGTTCCTACAGCATGCCCCGTACATGCTCTGACCTCACTCCGCATAGAACATCCGTCAGGGCAGTCGGACCAGGTGCCAGCTTCAGAACCGGCTCTCTCGGCTCTGCGTTAGACGTGGGACGCCCTGAGGCTTGGCGGAGGGGCTGGGCTCAGTCACCTCCCCTTCCCTTCTGCGCACTTCGCCTCTTCCATTGACGCCCTCTGCGAGGACAGCTGGCACCTGCTGAGTTCTGCTGTGCTGAGCGCCTGGCTGTTCAGTCACTCAGTCAGACTCTCTGCGACCCCATGGACTGCAGCACACCAGGCTTCCCTGTCCTTACTATCTCCCAGAGTTTGCTCAGACTCTTGTCTGTTGAGTCAGTGATGCCATCCAACTGAAAGGTTGTTGCTGAGCCATGAAAGACGTGGGGATTCTTGGCCTCCAGAAGAGAAGAATTTAATCTGGACCAGAGAAGAGGCTTGATTGCTCAGAGTTTTTGTGTAATAGAGTTTTATTAAAGTATAAAGGAGATAGAGAAATCTTCTGACATAGACAAAGGGGGCAGAAAGAGCGCCCCCTCACTAGTGTTAGCAATGGAGTTATTTACTCTTAATTAGATATTACAGTGAATCAAAAGAATGTCTGGAGGTTGTAAAGACCTCACTAGACCCACTCCCATAATTTACATTTTAAGATAACAGGATTAGCCAGAAGTTTTTTTCCAGAGACTGTCTTCAAGCAGGATACATTCAGTTCAGTTCAGTCGCTCAGTCGTGTCCGACTCTTCATGACCCCGTGAATCCCAGCACACCAGGCCTCCCTGTCCCTCACCAACTCACGGAGTTTACTCAAACCCATGTCCATCAAGTCGGTGATGCCATCCAGCCATCTCATCCTCTGTTGTCCCCTTCTCCTCCTGCCCCCAATCCCTCCCAGCATCAGGGTCTTTTCCAATGAGTCAACTCTTCGCATAAGGTGGCCAAAGTACTGGAGTTTCAGCTTCAGCATCAGTCCTTCCAGTGAACACCCAGGATTGATCTCCTTTAGGATGGACTGGTCGGATCTCCTTGCAGTTCAAGTGACTCTCAAGAGTCTTCTCCAATACCACAGTTTGAAAGCATCAATTCTTTGGCATTCAGTTTTCTTCACTGTCCAACTCTCACATCCATACATGACCACTGGAAAAACCATAGCCTTGACTAGACGGACCTTTGTTGGCAAAGTAATGTCTCTGCTTTTTAATGTGTTGTTTAGGTTGGTCATAACTTTCCTCCCAAGGAGTAAGCGTCTTTTAATTTCATGGCTGCAGTCACCATCTGCAGTGATTTTGGAGCCCCCCAAAATAAAGTCTGACACGGTTTCCACTGTTTCCCCATCTATTTCCCATGAAGTGATGGGACCAGATGCCATGATCTTAGTTTTCTGAATGTGAAGCTTTAAGCCAACTTTTTCACTCTCCTCCTTCACTTTCATCAAGAGGCTTTTTAGTTCCTCTTCACTTTCTGCCATAAGGGTGGTGTCATCTGCATATCTGAGGTTACTGATATTTCTCCCAGCAATCTTGATTCCAGCTTCTGCTTCTTCCAGCCCAGCGTTTCTCATGATGTACTCTGCATATAAGTTAAATAAGCAGGGTTACAATATATAGCCTTGACGTACTCCTTTTCCTATTTGGAACCAGTCTGTTGTTCCATGTCCAGTTCTAACTGTTGCTTCCTGACCTGCATATAGGTTTCTCAAGGGACAGGTCAGATGGTCTGGTATTCCCATCTGTTTCAGAATTTTCCACAGTTTATTGTGATCCACACAGTCAAAGTCTTTGGCATAGTCAATAAAGAAGAAATAGATGTTTTTCTGGAACTCTCTTGTTTTTTCAATGATCCAGCGGATGTTGGCAATTTGATCTCTGGTTCCTCTGCCTTTTCTAACACCAGCTTGAACATCTGGAAGTTCTCGGTTCACGTATTGTTGAAGCCTGACTTGGAGAACTTTGAGCATTATTTTACTAGTGTGTGAGATGAGTGCAATTGTGCGGTAGTTTGAGCATTCTTTGGCCTTGCCTTTCTTTGGGATTGGAATGAATACTGACCTTTTCCAGTCCTGTGGCCACTGCTGAGTTTTCCAGATTTGCTGGCATATTGAGTGCAGCACTTTCATAGCATCATCTTTCAGGATTTGAAATGGCTCAACTGGAATTCCATCACCTCCAGTAGCTTTGTTCATAGTGATGCTTTCTAAGGCCCACTTGACTTCACATTCCAGGATGTCTGGCTCTAGGTGAGTGGTCACACCATTGTGATTTGTTATATAATCCTAAGGAATGTAGAGGAAAAAAAGTTTGTCCTTTCCTCCTGCTTGAGAATGCCAGACCCCTCTCTCCTTGGGGACCCCTGGACTCCTTATCAACCTGCCTAGGAATTGACTCTCTCACAACCATCTCATCCTCTGTCGTCCCCTTCTCCTCCTGCCCCCAATCTTTCCCAGCATCAGGGTCCTTTCCAGTGAGCCAGCTCTTTACATCAGGTGGCCAAAGTACCTTGTAGGTGTTGCTTTATGCAGTCCCCATGATAACCGTATGACCTGGGAAGAATCAGAATCCCTGTTTTACCACTAACAGAGTGGAGGCTTGTCCAAGGTTACGGGAGTGAATGGCGCCCACAGTTGTAGGAGTCCAGAGAGAGGCCTGCCTGGTGCCCAAGCGTGAACCATTTAACCGCCGCGGTGTGGTCAAGTCACTCGCAGGGAAACACAGTAAAAGTGAAACAAACAATCAAAAATGCCTTTGACCTGCCCCTGGGTCTTTCTCCTACCCTTCAGGCCGACGCTTCCCCGAGCGAGAGTGGACGCTGCCGGTCCCTATTCCCGCTCTCCCCGCAGCTCCGAATGGGATTTAGACGCACTTTATGGGAGCAGAGTTGCTCTGCGTTGTGGTAAAGGCTGTTAGTCTCCGCAGGACGGCAGAGTGAACCAGCTCTCCCAACACACGCGACCCCCGTGTTGGACTTCCTTCCCCTCGAGGTCACCACAGGGCGCCGGGGAGAGCCCCCTGTGCTGGGGGGGTGGGTTCTCATTAGTCACCTACTGCATACATACAGTGTACATGTCCGTCCCAACCTCCCCAGCCACCCCCGCCCCGCCCGCCTTGGTGTCCAGACGTTGGTTCTCCACGTCTGATGTCTATTTCTGCTTTGTGACGAAGCGCGTCTGCACCGTGTTCTCAGATTCCACGTGTGCCGGTTCATACCCGACCCTCATTCTTCTCTTCCCGCCACCTCGTCTCCTCCGCCCCCCGCGAACCGGTCCCGCAGCCTCCGCGTCGCCAGGGCCCGCGGGCGCTCCCGCTCGGGCCTTGCTTGTCCCGGGCGTATCCGGCTCTGCGGTCCCTGACCTCCCTGCAACCGCGCCTTCGCTCGCCTGGCCGGCAGCTCTGCTCCTGCTTCTGCTTCTCTGCGCGCCTTCTCCAGGGCCCCTCCTCCGTGTCCATCCCGTGAACACTCTCCAGGGTCCGTACTCACCGCCCGCCCTGGGGAAGGCTGTTTAGCGCTCCACTGATGTCACTCACCTGTCCTGCTAGCGGTAGAGAAAAAGGCAAAGCCGTTTCAGCCCGTGTAAGTGGTTTCTTTGCAGACGGTTCTCTCCCTGTTGCATCGGTCAAAACTTCAGTATGAGGTGTGCAGTGGGGAAGGCTACGTCCACAAGATAGTGCAAACCTGGGACACCTCCAGGGGTTGCCTAATTAGCGTAAGGAATGACAGGGCATCCTTCGTTTGGTGGAATTACAGGTGAAGTTTTAGGACCCATCACATGATTAGGCAGGAACGCTGGTGAGCCCTTCTGATGGGGACGCTGCGGGAAGTCTGGTCTGCCCACAGTGCTTTCCTGTCAGCCACGTTGTCACTCAGAGCTTTCATGCACGGGGTAGATGTGAGCCCCTGAGATGGACAGAGACAGCTTTTCTGAAATTCCAGCCACTCGGGAGGGTATGGGCTTCCCTGTGGCTCAGGTGGTGAAGAATCTGCCTGCGACACAGGAGACGTGGGTTCGATCCCTGGTTGGGAAGGTCCCCTGGAGGAGGGCATGGCAAGCCGCTCCAGTGCTCTTGCCTGGGAAATCTCACGGACAGAGGAGCCTGGTGGGCTGCAGTCCATGGGGTCGCAGAGAGTCGGATCTGGGCAGTTAACTAGCACGTGTTTGGCAGACTCCGCAATGGGACTTGATTTCGTCGTCATACGCCCCCTGGTGGTGGTCGTGGGGAAGCGGACGCAGAGCCTTTTTTCTGCCTCCAAACACCAGAAGCTTCCCAGAGTGGTCAAAAGAAACACGTTCAGTTACAAGACGAGCTTTTGGTTCACAACACTCCTTTTGGAAAGGACAGAATCTAAGGTTATAAAAAAAACTGTCCTGCTAATGGATGTTTTTGATGTTTTTAAAATAAATTGTATATTTTGGAATAATCTTAGATTTACAGAAAAGCATCCAAAACACGGGCTCATGGTCCTGTTTCCTCCCGTGAGCCCAGTATCCCACAGCGTGCCTGGAACATAGCACGTGCTCCATAAACATATGTAAGATGGGTGGGTGGATGGATAGGTAAATGGACGGATAGATGAATGGATGGGTGGATGGTGGATGCTTGGTTGGTTTAGGAATACCACAAAGCCTGTTACAGGGGCTTTAATAAGTGAATTAATTTAATTACACTGAGAGCAGGACAGTGACTGTGGCCCAGCCGCACCTGCAGTTAAAGCTCCGGACACATGTCCAGCCGTGGAGCAGGAAGGTGGCAGCGGGCACCTTGCGGGTGGGTGAGGGAAGTGGCGTGGGCAGAGTGCGCCCCAGCTCCTGCACACGGTGCACGGTCTGCTGGACCTTCCTGGGGATCCTTGCGGGCCCCCAGCCACGGGCCCCAGGGAGCCGGGAGCCCCGCCCAGACAGCACTGATGGGGTCGTGACCTGGGGCCCCAAGGAGGGGTGGCAGGGGTACGGAAGTGGAGCCTCTCCACCGGCTCAAACTCTGAGCACCTGTTGTCACCACTTCCTAAGGATCAGGAGACGCGACTCAAGTCCTGGTTCTCACTGCTGTGCCTCTTCGGCCAATTACACAACAGTCTGCGCTTTAATTTCCTCACTTGGAGCAGCGGGAGAAGACTTACCTTCTAAATTGTTGTCAGCCGTAGACCCAACATAGAGGAGGCCCTGGACACAGGGAGCAGCTGTTATTATTACTCTTATTACAGAGGCTGAGATGGCTGGATGGCATCACCGACTCCATGGGCATGAGTTTGAGCAAGCTCCGGGAGTTGGTGGTAGACAGGGAGGCCTGGCGTGCTGCAGTCCACGGGGTCACAGAGAGTTGGACATGACTGAGTGACTGAACTGAACTGAGGTGGCTTAAAAGAGCAGAAATATCTTCTTTCACAGCTCTGAAGGCGAGAAGTCCTCTGCTTATGAGGACACCAGTAAGGACCCACACTACCCCAGTGCTAATTCCAGTATTAATCCACACAACTTGACTAATTACATCTTCAATAACCCTGCATCCAAATAACCAAGTAAGGTCACATTCTGAGGTTCCCAGAAGGACATAAATTTGGGAGGAGGGACACTGTCCCACCCAGTACACCTGCTAAGCCTTATCTTTTCTTTTCCATCCCTAAAACGGTGCTGTTAGCAGGCGCCATGTTATAGGATTGCTATGGGGATCGGTTGAGAGATGGCTGGGAAGCTCTGCGCACGGAGCCTGGCATACTGACCCGTGCTCACGAAACAGAAGCTGTCATCATCGCCGTCAACATCAGAGTCCCCGCTTTATGGCTGAGGAGGCAAGGCCTGCAGGCAAAACTGGCTGTCATCCTAGAAACAGCAGGGCCGGCTTCCCCAGCTCCTGAGCCAAGGCACTGTGCATACAGCAGACGCTCAATAAAGGCTCCATGCCCACGACCTGAAATCCAGCGGGCACACGCACAGTTGTGGAGCCCCGGGACCACTCTGGGAGGGCAGGAGGGGACCCTGGCAGGCCTGGCTCCGGGCCCCCCGTCAGGGCGTTCGCCATGCTGCCAGGCTCTCCCCCAGCTCTCAGCCGTCTTTGTGGTTGTGTTTGTTTGCTTTTGGCCACACAGCCTGCGGAGTCTTAGTTCCCTGAGAGGGTCCACCCTGTGGCGCCTGCAGGGGAAGCATGGAGTCCTGACCCTGGGCCACCAGGGAGGTGCCGTCAGCCTTTACAGTCGCTCTCATCCACGCTCACTGCCTAGCCGGGCGAGCGGACACACCGGGATGATGATGTTTACCGTTGCTACTGCAGATCGGAGTCCATGAATCAGTCGGTCCCCCGCTGGTGGCACTCGGCTGGAATCCTGCTGGCGGCTGGCTGGCAGCTGTGCCAACACCTGGGACGTGCTGGCTGCATTTCCCTGGGGCCCGTGCCCTCTCACGAAGGCCTTACGGAGACAGAGGATGCTGAGTTTTGACATTTGGTGAACACGCTTGTTAACAAATTGCAGCTAATCTTACCTCCACGGGGCCTTCCCTGGAGTGCAGTGGATCTCTCTCGGGAGTCGGGGAAGCCGGCCGATCGAGTGAATGGGCACGCACTGGCAGGTGACTCCGCTGGCATGATGCGGGCAGAGCCGGGCAGACTGTGATGGCGGCGGGGTCAGCCCAGGCGCGGGCTGCGGGGCTCCTGGCTCAGGCCCTGCCTCCGCAATCTCAGCCCCGTTTTCTGTGAAGTCCCTTGCGCTTCCCCCACCCCCACACAGACAAGCCTGAGTCAGGTGCAGCTCCCAGGACACAGAAACGAAGCAGCAACGGCCCTACTCTGCGAGCGTCCAGGCCCGGAAAGGGGGTGAGACAGGCGTCACCTGCCTGATTAAGTCAGTGAACGAAAGGCCCTGAGAAGGGGGCGTGGGTGCAACTCCTGCAGCAGGGAGAGGATTAGGAAAAGCATCACTGACAGATGGAGTTTGAGTGGGTCTGGAAGGTCGCGTGGGGCTTCTCTGGTGGCTGAGATGGTAAAGAATCTGCCTGCAATGAAGGAGACGGGAGTTCCATCCCTGGGTGGGGAAGATCCCCTGGAAAAGGGCATGGCAACCGACTCCAGTGTCCTTGCCTGGAGAACCCCATGGACAGAGGAGCCTGGCGGCCACAGTCCACGGGGTCACAGAGAGCCGGACACGACTGAGCGACCGCGTCACTTTCCCTTGACTTTCAAAGGCTGAGTAGGAGCTGGACAGCTAGCGGCAGAGGTGGAAGCGTGAGTCAGGGCAGGGATGTGGGAGCCCAGGGCCCTGTGTGAGAAACAAGCATTTGCCTGAAAAGCAGGCAAGGATGGGAGAAGCAACCAGAGAGGCGCAGTTGGCTGGTAACAGCGCTTCCCTCTGAGGAGGCAGTCCTAGGTCTGCAAGCGGAGACACCTGCCAGCTCCTCAGGGTCCCAGTTTGCAATGAGACACATGATCAGGAGCATAGCGACTGCTCCACGACGGTCGTGGCCAGGACACCCGCAGAGAGGGGGTGCCCCCATCCCGGCACCCAGGACGGGTCCGCCTTGTGCCTTCCATCCTGAGGACGCAGGGGTCGGAAGCCCATTTCACAGATGCGACACGTGAGGCCCAGAGCGTCCAGATGGAGAACAGCATGCTCAGGCTCTCCCAGCATCAAGTGCTGAAAACACAGTGGACTAAAGAAGGCAGCTTTTATTTTTCCCAGTTACCTTCCAGTGATTTCAAGGCTTTCTTTAATAATTCAATGAAGGTAGTGAAGGTGAAAGGCGCTCAGTCGTGTCTGACTTTTTGCGACCCCGTGGACTATCCAGTCCATGGACTTCTCCAGGCACGGATACTGGAGTAGGTAGTCTTTCCCGTCTCCAGGGGATCTTCCCAACCCAGGGATTGAACCAGGTCTCCCACATTGTGGGCGGGTTCTTTACCAGCTGAGTCACCAGGAAGCCCCTGTGAGCCAATTCAATGCATGCTTTCAGTTGAGGTGCTGGGGAAATAGGAGTCACATTTTAGAAAGATTCACTCGTGAAAAAGGCTAGTTCGGTCTGACGCATCTTCCATCCCCCCAGCTCAAACCCAGTTCGTGGTCCAAGACCCACAGTGGGGAGGGCAGGCGCCTCTCCGATCAGGTCCCCTGACTTCCTCCGCGGCTCTGACACTCCCAGGTGGGCGCGTGGGGCGGAGGGACAGGCTGCAGGAGTGGTGGTGTGACTGCCTTCTGCAGTAGAGCATGTTCATTTTGTTATTGTTCAAATTGAGAAATAGTTGCTGCAAATTACAGCACACAACATTGTGATTCTATATTTGTATGTACTGCAAAATGATTACCACAGTAAGTCTACTTAACATCTATCACCACACGTAGTTACAGCTTTTTTTCTCATGATGAGAACTTTTAAGATCTACTCTTTCAGCAGCTCTCAAGCATACAGTACAGTAGTACTACCTCTAGTCATCATGCTGTACCTTACATTCCCAGGACTTATTTA